AAAACCCCAAACCCGAAACCACAGACGCCAAACCCCAAGCCCACAACCTTAAGTCCAAACTCCACTTTCCAAACCTCGAGCCCTAAACCTTTAAACACTAAAGCCCTAAACCTCAAATCTAAGCCCTAAGTTAATAAAACCTCGACCCCAGACCTCAAGCCCGAACCCCCAACCCAAACCCCAAACCCGAAACCACAGACCCAAAAATCCCAAGCCCACAACCTTGAGTCTAAACTCCACTTTCCAAACCTCGAGCCCTGAAAACTTCGAACACCAAAGCCCTAAACCTCAAATCTAAGCCCTAAGTTAATAAAACCTCGACCCTATACCTCAAGCCCGAACCCACAACCCAAACCCGAAACCCGAAACCACAGAAAGGCCCCAAACCCTGCACCCACAAACCCCAAGCCCACAACCTTAAGTCCAAACTCCACTTTCCAAACCTCGAGCCCTGAAACCTTTGAACACCAAAGCCCTTAACCTCAAATCTAAGCCCTAAATTAACAAAACCTCGACCCCAGACCTAAAGCCCGAACCCCCAACCCAAACCCCAAACCCGAACCAAACTCCACTTTCCAAACCTAGAGCCCTGAAACTGTTGAACACCAAAGCCCTGAACCTCAAATCTAAGCCTTGAATTAGTAAAACCTCGGCCCCAAACCTGAAGCCCGAACCCACAACCCAAACCCCAAACCCGAAACCACACGCCCCAAAAACCAAGATACCTCTAGTCCCGAAGATTCCCGAAGCGCGCACCCGAAACCCCAAACCGTAAAACCCTTCTCTAGACCCTTTGGGACAGTCGCGCTCCATTACAGCAAGCACTCCAACAAAGGGTTCCCGTTTGCTACCCGCTCCCCCGACCCCTGACGGCTACCTATTGCCCTCGGTCTGCCAGATTGCGGTTTAGGGCTGAGTTCAGTTTGTGATTTAGGGCTGGGTTGGTGTGATATTTAGAGTTTCGGATTTGGGGGGCTCAGTGGGGGAAAAGTCAGAAGGCGTGGGGGTTCGGGGAAAGGGTTTCAGCATTGAGCAAAACTGGTGTTCAGGAATATGTTTGAAGCTTAAGCTGGGGTTCTTGGTGGTTTTGGACTTAAGGTTGGGGGGTTTGGGGATTGGGGCTTGTGATTTCGGGTCTGAGGTTTGGTTGGGGGTTCAGCGTTTAGGTCTGGGGTCGGGGTTTTACGTCGTAGAGTTTCTAGGGTTTAAAGTTTAAGGTTTGATGTCCGAAAATGCGGGTTTGGGGTTTGGGGTTGGGGTTACGGTTTAGGGCCTAAGTTGAGTTAATGGTTTAGGGCTGGGAGTGTGGTGCTCTTAGGATTTCGGGTTTGGGGCTGAGGGGGTTTCGGCGCCTGAGAAAATAGGGTTTATGGTGCCAGGATCAGGGTTTAGGGTTAGAAGGTGTCGAGTGGGTTCGAAAGTTGAGATTTTGAAGTGCAGTGGCCCCTTTCTCCGCATGCGGTTTAGCGCTTGGGTCTAAGGTTTACAAGCGACACCAGCAAAAGACACTGCTCCCAAAACGATACAGCCAACGAAACAAACAGACAAAGACGAAAGGGCCTAACATAACTATGCTGCAAATCGGCGAACGAGGCAACCGAGACGGGCACTGATATCGTATAACCTTCATGTTCGGTCATCAGGAACATTGGGATATTAGCACGATTGATTTCGCTTTTGTCTTGTAATCTTCGAGATTTCTCAGCTGCTTAACAGGGTGTTTCTGTATGTATGTCTGCAAACTCTGGAAGTTTAGGTCTAATTCACATGCCAAGCCTGGTGTTCTGAAACCATAGCCAATGATTGCAGACCCTCCGTCATCTGGGGGTATTATGAAACTGCACCGCGGCTAATGGCACAAGCAGGGGCTGTGATTCTGCAGGACTTGCACACATCTGCAGGTTTTCCTAGACATCTTGAATCTGGGCTTTTGTGCCTGAGCGATCTCTGAACTCTACACTGAAATCAACACCGCTAGCCGCTAACCAGTCTTTTGCACAGAGGCGCCTCGTGGTTAGCCTTCGCAGGCTGCCTTCCGAGTGCAGCCTGAATGTGCTCCGTCACCAACCTGCCGAGAAGATTCCAGGCTCTTGGCCGTGTGGAAGAGTTGCTGTTCGCTGCACTCGACCTGCTCTTGTCCATCATGTCACCCGTCTGAGTCTGCTCCTCCACAGCAGATGCTACCTGCGCAGCAGTATCTGCCTATCTGCCGAAGCCACGGCCGTTCCGAGCCTCCAAGGCACGCGCTGCGGAGGCTTCTGCTTGTCGGACAGCTGCGACCACCCTGCCATTCGAGAACCCGTGGCCCGTTCAGTGGCCCGGACCCTCGCCCCTAAATCCGAGAGCAACTGAGCCAGCTTCGCATGTCTGCCCGTGAAAGCAAGCTCTTTGTGGCTTCCACCTTGAGTAAGCTGCACGCTTCTTGTTTGAAAGTCATCTTAGGATGGACTAACATCAGATTCCAGGCAGTGGCAGCTCGATACGAGTATACGAGTTTCAAGGGACTCTCAGATCAAGCTTCGTGTTGGACTGGCACCGTCGACTTTACACAGAAAATGCTACCAGTCGTGCTAAGTACCTTGTTGGCGATAGCCTCCTCGAAAGTCGCAAAGACAGGACTGTCTGACAAGTCCTTCGAACGCAGGAATGCTTGCACGGGGTATGCATCGGACATACACAACGACAAGAAGCACTACTTCCGAATAGGCCAGTCCTGCATCGCCGGAGCAGCCCTGAACACCACAAGCACGATGAAGCTTGGCATACTTCTGATGCCGACTTTAAGGAGCTTTCGGACTTGTCTGGAGTAGCTTGAGTGGCAGAGCTAGACTTGGAAAAACAAGCATTTTTTGAGTGTTGAGGTAGATTCAAGACTTGCTCCATCTTCAGCATTTACAAATGCTCCGGCACGATCTTTTGGCCTCAACAACTTCAGCTCCGGGCGCTTTGCGGGAAAGCAGCGACCATGCTAAATCTGCAGGGCAGTTTGGTGCAGTGTATCGCAGTGCTAAACCGAGTGCTTATGTCTGTGGCCCTTAATCATCCTACTCTCACTGCGGTCAGCCGAGTCCTCCGTGTTGCATCGTGTTCCAGTCTCGTGTAAGCTTGAGCAAGGCTAAGCCAGGAGAGTTGATCGAATTGCAGCCGAGAACCTCACTACACCCAGATGCCCGAGACACGCTTTTGAACGCACCACCACTTCATGTGCGGGGGCGATGGCTGGTTTTGCTTCGCCGGCCAAGCTCTTGTGGTTATTCCTCCGGCATGTAGTGTGGATCCCGTTGGGATGTCCATTGTCGATGTCCGCACCGCATCGCATGACCAGGTCGGGCCTTCGGGCCGATGCCACCGAAAGAGCGCTCAAGTTTCTGGTACATGCCGTTGTTCTCGCAGCGCAAGATGACCTGCAAGGGTCCCGGCAACACCGGAGTTGCCCAGAAACTTCGTCAAAGCGCGACAGAGCGAGTCGAAGGCTTAGATGTGTGAGATACTTTCCATCATGGATTGAAGGGTCGGGCCGGAAGCCCAACACCAGCGCTGAGACTGTCTAGAGTCTAGATATCCCATGTCAAGACTTCACACGGTTTCGCAAAATCTGCGGGTCTTTGACACATGCAATCTGGCAGCAAGGGGTCTTGGGGACCCCCCAACTGCTGCCTGCTTCAGCCGACGCATCTCTCGACTTCTTTCACCTGGCGTCGAGAACAAACTTTCGCACTCTACATGCGCGAAGGACCAAATCGCCTCTTTGGTCGCTGGCAGAGCCATGGCAATTCGCACTTGCCCTTCAATACCTGGGCGGGGGCAGCTAGTGCTGCCGAAGACAGGCATCATGGATGCCGCATTGCAATTGGGATGCTTCCGGATGGTACCTTTCGACATACGCCATCAACAAACACATACAGGCACACCATGCAGCGACCTTCAATCGTTACCCGTTGAAAGACAAATCAGGTGAAAGCATGGTCTGCCTTTCCATGAGCAAGGTGGAGTACTGGAATGGGAGCTTGTTCGTGCAGTCCGTTGTCCCCCAAAGTGCAACCTCAACATGCTTGATCACAGGCTGCTCTTGGGTCTGAGATCGCCCCTGCAAAATGCTGCTCTGCATCGTCTGACTCTGTATTTGCCACACCCGTCCAGATAAAGTCGTAGTTACATGGCAGGTTTGGGCCAAGGAGCATAGCGACTCCGATTGTAACCTGACCAGGGATTTCGAAAGAACGGAGATTGCAAGAAATCTCGTAAAATGAGGGGTGCATGCCAGAAGCCACACACGCTACATCAACTTGCAGTTCGAGCGTCATCGGTGGTGGTGCACAACACCGAGCAAACAAAACAACCAGTCTGACTCGACAAACTTGGACCACAGATCCAGAAACACACCGGGACGCACCACGTACACACCGTGCTCTCACCCATGGCCCCATGCCTACTCGCCACCGACCGTTGACATGTAGAGGCAAGAAGTGCGGTTTTCTGACCCGTCACACAAGCTTTCTGAAACAGTTTCCTGAGAGCGTGCCCGGTTGTTCCATCAGGTTCCGGGGCCCCGACAAAGCTGACAAACGGAGTTGGTTTGCTGGTACTTCTCTGGCTGTTGCCGCACCAGCTTCTCATCCTCGCTCACCCGATTCTGATGCACGGCAGATTTGATTGATTGCGCTGAACAACCTCCTTTTTCAGCTTGATGTTGTATGTGGGCTTGCCTCCAGGATAGCCTTGCGCAGGATGCAACATCGAAGATGCACCGTGCATGAACATCTTCTCGGAAGCCGCCAAGTGGCACGAGCAGTAGTGGCGAAACGAAGCATCTTTCGGACCGGTCAGAGGAATGTCCTGACAATGCTTCCAGTCCTGTCGACTGTGGAAGCCCGTGAACGGCGTCATGGCCTTGTTCTTGTCCATCTGAGCAGTCTCCTCCCATGGCTCGATGTGCCAGCCACGTGCGGCGAAGGCATACTGCATTGCAAAGTCCGAGGAATAGATCTCCTGCAACTCACAGTTTCTTTCATCGCTGGTCGGATCGCACAGACAGACGAAGATTCCGTTCGGGGTTGGGCGGAGTCCTTTGTAGCCTGCTCACCAAGCCTTGCGTGCACAAATTTCCAGATTCTACAGCAAGCCAGACTGTACCAGCATGCCGCTCATGTGCAGAGGAGGAGCATGTTCCAGTCCTTGGAGCTAAGCACGCAAACGCACCGAGACAGATTTTCTGTCACTGTTCACTGCCTTCGTGTTTCAAAGCTTGCAAACAACGAAAGGAATTCTTCTCATAACACAAGAGTTCCACCACGTTTCCAGCTTCATCATGTTCTCATCCGAAAGGGCATCCAGAATGGCCTCCTTCCTGTGATTCGGCGGAATCACGTTGTCTTGCTTCACAGCATGATATCCCGGAGAATCGTCCTGAAGTAGGCTCCGCCAGCTAGGCCCGCAGACATAGCTTTGCGACTCCACTTGAAGCCTCCCAGACGCTTTGCAGGGTGAGGGATGGACGTGACAGGAACATCTCGGAAAGCCCGGTTTCGTCTTTGAGCAATTCAACTTGCAGGTACATGTGGGCGACAACCCAAATTTGCGACCAAAACACTTCCTTGCAACAACACGACATCGGGGATCTGGAGGACGGACCGTGATCACCAAATCTGTGGCAGTCGGCTCTGCAGAAAATTTGAAATGAAAAGGGTTGCCACTAGTCATATTTCTCTCTCATGTTTCCGTCGATTAATCCTTCTCCTCTGCACCCTGCTTTACAGTGCATTAAAGCTTCAGAACTCGGTACTGTAACACTGTCTGGCTGTTCTTTGCCAGCATCCTGGACTTCAAAGTCCGGGCTAGGACTGCAGGCGCGAGAAGAGCCCCCTTTTCTTTTGTGCGCTCCGCATGAAATGCGACGAGCTATAAACCAAAGCTCCCCCGGATCGCTTCGAGGCTTCCCCGCTGCCTGGAACTCGTGCCTGGGCCAGCTTCTCAACCTCAGTGGCTTTTACATACTTTCAACAAAGGCTACATGTCGACAGTGTTCACTCAATCGTAGCTTGAAGACATAGTCAACCAGTCCGAAGCTGCGATCCTGCACATAGATCCCTCCTGCGAGTTGCAAAGACAGCACCTTGCATGAAACACGTCTGCAACTCCTGCATCGTGCTTCGGCTCACGCTTGATTGGGCCATGAATGGTGTTGTCCTTGGACGCATGTGCTGAATTCGCAAGGCGGTCCCAACAGATCTCTTGAAGTATGCGTCGGCAAAACGCTGCACGGTATCGCGTCCTGACCCGTGCGAGTCTTGCTCCCTTCTCAACATCTTCTTCCGAAGGTCACCCCGGACTCCTCAAACCCGAAACGGCTCTCAGCGGAATTTAGGACTGCAGCAGAACACAGGAAGACAAGTTTCCGGTTCGAGCATGATGACATACTCGGTATTCAAACCTCAGCTACTTCCGCCCCGGTTGATCATCTTCAAGCAGCATAGACAGGGGCTCTGTGACGTTTTCGGTTCTGTAGTTGACTGTTGACGAAGCGGCTCTCTGCTGCATCATAAAGCCGCCTGAAGAAAGGCCATGGGTGCCATCCTCAGCTCTTCAAGAACACGTCGAGAAGCACAAGCACTTCACCATAGTTTCTGATGCCACGTTCGAACGGGGGCACGTCGACATGTAGTGGAATGACTTGAACACGTAGTGACTTGCAGGAGAAGTCACGGTCGTTGGCTGGAGGGCAGAGCTTGAACGTGCACCCCTGCTGCTCGCAGAGAGGAGAGAAATCCATACCACCATCACTCATGACCTTGGTCTGACATGGCATGACCGCTTAGAGCCTGCTTTCTGAAAAGGGCTGCGCTCCAGGCTTTTACACAAGCATCATTTTCGCAACAGGACAACACGTGCCTTTAGCCGCATGTGCCCGTGCGCGTGTGGGCCTCCGGCCTTCGGCCTACAGGCCTAAAAGCGGCAAACCTGCCAAATGGAAAAATCACCTGTCTAGGTGGAAATCCTTGCTTCGACAACCTACACACATCCGACGGAGCTCCTAAGCGTACTTGACCGGCTGCTGTGGCAACCCTCTCGGCTTCACGTGGGGCCCGCCGGACTTCGAACGCAGTTCGATTCCCGAACCACGAGCCGCCGCCGGAGCGCTGGCTGCTTTTATTCACTCTTTCTCAGTATGTGCGGAAACTGGTCCGGAACCACCCATTTCTCACCTGCACTGTAAATGACCTGGACCGACCCCGCGGGCAGCATGTAGCCCATCATTGGCGACTCCTCGAGCACGTGCTGCGCAAACTGCACAGATTCGGAAGGCTTCCGTGACAAGCGAAGCCTGTCCTCTCCGAGAACCTGCTTCACGACTCCATCAGTGCACCACATTCCCTGGCTATTGCTCCAGATGTGAACCTCGGCCAAAGTTCCCAAGAACTCGGGAAAACAAGAACCAATTTCTCATATTCGAGCAGTTACAAGCAAGGGAGGACGGGAGGCCGCCGCTTTTAAGCGTCTGCACGAGCCACCTCTGAAAAAATCCGCGCCTTGTCACCGCTCACATAGCCAGCAGTGGGCGCGGTGGACGGGGACGGATCCTTAATCGAACTTGTCCGAAGCACGACTACCACGGCCACGGCAGGCAAGACAACCCTTGAGATCATAAGTCTGAAAATCGTCTGCTTGCGCGGCCGAGCGACTAGTTCTCGTGTGGTGGATATGGTGGAGACATCGGCCAGA